TATTAGTCTTGATTTTATTACTATTTGTAAGGATAATATTTGATTTCCAATAGATTTTACATAATTTTTATTTTTTGTGCAGATAAAGACTTAAATGCATAATAATAAGAGTTCTTGGGAAAAATTGAATATTTTTTGAAAGTTGAGAGACTGAATTTCAAGAAGAAAGCTCTTTTTTGGGACCTAAATGAATGAATATTAAGCTTTGGGATCTAAATACCACTTTTTCAAAACCTAGAGGACCAAATCTGTTATTTTACCATTGAAGAAATTGCAAAAAGAACAGAAGCCTGACACGGGTGTGGTGTCGACACGCAACTGGAGATATCAGCACCATGCGTTAAGCATCCATAGTTGAAGTTTCCTGTTCTGTCCTAAGTCCTACTTCTTTTTCTGCTTCTAATGACGAAGAACCTCCCGAGATAATGTCCCGGTGATTAGTTATTTCAGTCTTGACAAACCTAGTCTCTTCATGATTTTGTTGACCATTTGAATTGTTTTGCAAAAATCGAATCTGCTCCAACTCCATAGCAATTTCTATCATCCTTGGCCGCCTACTACCACTCAAGCTTAAGCATCTATATGCAAGTTTAGCAACCTTTATAATTTCTTCATGTGCAGAACTATCCTTAACTTGAGCATCAAGAATATTGAAGAGGTTATTCTCTTCCATGGAAAAAATGAAATGAGAAGCCAAATTTAATTTTCTACCTAAACTAGGAAATTTTGTAGAATATAATGCATTTTTATCTATTTAAACTCACATAAAGATATAGTGAATTAATAGGTGAAGATAAGTTTGGCAAACTTGAGAAAGTATATCAAATAGAATTGAAAGTCCTACTATCACATGAATAATAAATACCTTGAAAGTATATTAATCTAAATTTTATATTCATATCCAAAAAAAATAATCTAAATTCTATATTAATTAATTATGGTGAAATCGAATACCTTAGAATTTTAATTCTTAGTGTTACGTAAAATCAATTTAGTTTTTCTTTAATTGTTTACTTTAATTGTTTTAGTTAATTACCTTATTTAAATCATTTAATTTCAATTGTTCAAATAAAATTAGAATTAGTTAATTTTGATATTTAATTAGTCTGCAATCTCTGTACGTAGGACTATATTTTATTCTCATCATTATATTATTTGACTTAATTAATACTCTTACTAAAGCGAATATAACTCATGAGCTTCGACACTATATATAAATGGCTAGGTCTCATATTCATGTATCTATTTGTTGAGAGTCTAATTTGAAAGTAGTCAGTAGACAGGAAGTACCAGGAAATTCTTAACATTGTGATCTTACAAACTCTATTACTTCTTCAATTGCCTTATCATACACTCTCTCTATTTAATTATATTATTTTTAGTGTCTTGAATTTATACACGTAATCCTATTGTTTCTACACATGCTATCAGAGCAATTGCATGTGAATTTGGGATCCAAGGTCGATTTTCAACCTGTTGACTATTTGTTAATTGATGTCAACTAGGGAAATTGAAACCCTTTTTGATCTTGTATTTTTG